TATCGAATTCATCCATTTTGGGTTTCGCATTGGTTTGGAAGAAGAACTCACAGCTCGATTTTTCTAGATCACATTCACAGAAATATCTTAAAAATTGAAGTTTGGAAATTCCGATCAAAGTATCTTACATAAACAAGAATCTATCTTAAACGAGAAGAAGAAGAAATCATCAATTAGTTAAAACTATTTATTAAATTCCAATAATAAAATGTATTGTACGTATCTTAATCACAAAAATTATACAGTAGTCTCCTTAGAGACCAGAGAAAGGAATTTTTCCCTTTGTCCCATGTCCTCTTCTTTCTGTTGTCCGTAGTATCTGCAGACCATTGTCGTCATTATAATGATCAATACTGAAACTAGAAAAAACGCGATTATAGCTACCACATGGGTAGGGGAAGGACCATGTGAGTCCCAATCTGGAAGAATGAACTTCTTCTCCACTATCAAAGTTTCTAAACAAAATTATTAAAAATTAAATTAGTTTCACTTACGATTATGTGTGGAGTGAGAACATATGAAACTTCCTCTGTTTGAAATAATATTAGCCCTCGTTGTAACAGCCTGTGAAAAAGTAAAAGTCTGTATTTAAAAAATGAACTTACTGGGTAGCCTTGGGTGGTAGTGAACAAGGGATGAGAAAAAGTTTTCTTCTTCTCGCCTCCTATTATTACCGTTTCGGGTTGCTCATACAACAGGCTGATCTGAAAATTCAAAAGAAAACTTCAAAAAAAGATCAAAAATACTCACGCATGTGACATCAAAAAATCGGGGTCCTTCCCAAACTAAACTTTCCCCTCTAACAATAGTGTTGTTAACCAGAACAACTAAGCCAGACCTCTCTGTAACACAACTCAATAAAATATTAAGAAAAAATAAAATAAAAACCTGCTGGTAGAGAGACTTCTCTCAAAAACATGAGAGAGTTATCTCCCACAAAAACCCCAACAAGATTAGCGATAAAAACAAAGCTCACAATGAACATTCTGTAAAGTTTACATTTTATGAGTGAATGACATATTCCTTATATATTATACTTTATTTCATAGTTAACCACATACGGATTATATGCTGAATAAGAAGGTTTATCATGCAGTTTAGGCGGTAACTTATAACACAAATTTTAAAACTTTTGGTTTGAGCGGTTAACTATACCACCATATATTAATCTTTCATTTTTCCGGGAAACAGAAATGGTTTTCATTTCAAATGAACTGAGAGCTGCCCCTAGGCTATGCAAAGATTATGTTGACGACGATTAGCGATCGTAATTCTCAGAGGGTTTCAAAACTTGAGGTCTGATACGTTTTCCAAGAAATGAGCGATGTCCCATACACTTAAAACTTTTTTATCAATTT